TTAAAACTCAAATATACTACCAGCAATATACTACCAGTATATATACGACCAGCATTCTGTTATCTCATATACAACATATTTTACATATTTGGAAAAGATGAGAAACTATATACTAACACACTATATTCTAATAAATTCTATACTGACAAACTAGCAAATATACTTTAATAAAAATATTAATTTATTACTGCATATATGCCTCAGTAAAAAATTTCTAATTTATACCCGAATATTATTAAAAATTGTGTAACATCAACTATACCAAAATAAAAACAAGATCAAACAATATATAAACTTCAGTCGTTGACAGGAACGGTCATGTGATTTAAATTTATGAATACATAATAAAATGCATATTTGGGTAATAAAATCCACCAGTCATATAATTTCTATGTGGCATATAACTGCGGAATTTATTTTCTCTGTATATTCGATTTCTATTTATACCTGTTTTTATTTCTATCTTGTTTACATTCTCTTGCACTGTATTTTCCGAATTAGCGGTTAAAAGTAACGGACACTCTTGCGCTATTATGGCTTCTACAGAATCAAACAATTTCTCTATTGAAAGACATTCTATTTCAAACAGTATGATCACGTTCGGTTTTTCAAATGAATCTAAGTGTATAAAATCGTGATACGGTTCTGATACGCTTCTAACATAAACTTTCTGTTTATAATGGTTGCACTTAGAACAGACAAATCCTAAATCGCTTGATTCAAAATTTAACGAATTTATAAATACAATATACAGTTCCTTCGTTTTTCTAAAGCAATGTAAGAAAATATGCCACGTGCTCAAACATATTATATTTGTTTTGTTTACATCTATAACATGAATAATATATTTACGTGCATTTTTTGGAAGAGGTAATAAATTTGATTCCTGCAACGCATAGTATAACGTCAGCGGGCCGGATACAGAATCAGAATATATACGTTGAGTTAATGACCAGAAGGACACTAAGTCAGAAGGGCCTAAGTTTAAGTAATCAGTAGGAATATCATTTGAGGGTACATACTTGTTAATAAATGTAAAAGTGTCATGAAAAGATTTTGCACAAGAAAATTTGGAGAACTTATATCTGTCTTCAAATAAAATTTGTTCTGTATAGCCGTTTATATGGAAGATATTCATGTTCAGTAATAGCGACAACTCATGGCAGCACTTCTCATGAATTATATTAAATAATATTTCGTCATCATCACACAAATTGGCTGCATAGCAGATGTTGCAGGGCTTTATATTTGCCTGCCGGTAACACACAGAACACGATTTTGCGCAAAATATCATCTCAATTTCGTACTGGTGTATGTCACGTGAGAGACTAGAGCGTATTTGATGTAAAATTCCTTTGCGTGTTTCTATCCATTTTTCCAAGCTAGGATACGTATCCCAGAAGGATTTGACTGTTATTACACTTCTTATAGCTTTGCAGATCTGAGAGTGTGAGTTTCGGTGTATCGCCTCATGCTCCTCGGAACAGTAAGAAATCATGTTGCACCGATTACACGTTATCAAGTCTTCGCTGGGCTGTTTGCAAACATGACAAATGTTTGGATTAAAAAACTCATTATATCTGTCTTCTGTGTATGGACCATGAAAAATTGATATTGCCGAGGAATTCATCGCGATATGTCTTATTAATTCACGTTTATGAGTATTTTGTTAGTAATATTTATTTCAAAATAATGCACGAAGCTCGACAACTCACGTAATGTAACAGAAATATATATACGGCTTATATATAGCTGTTTAAATGATAACAGTACACAGAACATTAATAACAATGTACAAGTACGTTTGTATGTATCGAAAAAGTTGTTGACAAGATAAATTGTAACTATTGAGATGACAAACTAGAAGTATTCATTATAGGAGAGAAACAATATGCAAACATGATACATTACTTATGAATATCTACTTTAAACTATTCAAAAAATACAAAGTCCGCCAAGAAAGTTACTTTAGTAATTTTGTTGTAATTTTTAACAAAACTTTAGATATTTCGGTAATGTACTAGAAAGGTTACTCTAAGTTAACTAACCCACTAAAAAAATGTTCTTTGATCCGAATTGATCACCCATCCTTTTTTGGAACATATTACGTTCTAATCCTTAAATTTTTGCGATCGTGCAATACGCGATTATCGTAATGATTCTAAGGATGTCCTTAGGACTTACATAACGTATCTTTTTATAGCATTCACAGAATAATATAATATGTTTATGAGCAGACATTTAAATGACGGAACAACATTAAATATTCCACAAATGTTGGTACAATGTATATTATTGATCTAGTGATTGTATCACTCCTTTTTGTTGTTCAACGAAAGATTAAGCTATAAGCTATTTGAGTTTTTGGTATTTCGCTTTAAAATTTTTTTTGTTTATATTATTCATAACAACATTTTTAATATTAAAATCTGAAAATAATCTAATTGGTTCTTTTCAACAAAATAACAGATCTTATTCAATAAAATGATAATTTATACATAAGTATATTATTTTAAAACTGTCGAACACGATTTTTTTTTAATTCTTCCAAATGTTGCAATATTGATAAGAATTTGTAAAAAAATATCAACTTTTACGAGTCACTTTTCCAATTGGAACACTTTCCATCTTTTCGCTGCAGAGTAGAGTGTACAAAGGTTTTCAGCATTGCTCATTACGAATGTAATATAAAAATCAGAATTTGGCAGATGACAAATGTCAATTTCCTGTCAACATATAATTATTATATTCTAACACTTTAAGGCGCATAGTTTATGGAACATTCTAGTAATTTTTTTTAATGAAATATTGTAAGAAGCATTAAATAGCACATTTATAAGTCTTTATTTGCCCGATCCTAAGTGATCCCTATTGACATATACTATGTTAATCTTCAAGTATCACTGGTACCAATTAATATCACTGGACATCATCATCCTTCCAGCGGACAAAGGTAACATAACAGAAATAATGAAAGAAGAAAACTATAACAAGAATATATAGGAACTTCACACCGACGATACTTAATAGAAACTGAAGAAAGACCCCACTCATTCCTTAAAAGCACAAATAACGAAACTTATAAAGAACAGTATTCTGCCAGACAAAATAAAAACCATCCTAATCCCAAAAAATGTAACACTTCCAAGAATATCCGGCCTTCCCAAGTTACACAAAAGCAATGTAACACTTAGAACTATAGTGAGCGCCCAAAACTTCCTAACATACATATGGCATGCTTTTTAGTGAGTAAACTGGAACCACCAAAATCAGCGAAAACACCCCCTACACGGTCAGAAACTTAGCGGGTTTCAAATAGAAGATAAAATGGACCCAAATTCAACCAATCGACATCCCGGTACTTCTCGACGTATCATTTTTATTCACACAGGTCCCAAATTCAAACATCATAAATAAAAAAGACATCAAAACAAGTTCCATCCGATCTTATCCCTCTAATCGAACACTGCCTGACCATTACAAATTTCAGCTACAATAATCAATTCTATAAACAAATTTCAGGTGCAGCCATGGGATCCCCAATCTCTTCAGTCATAGCTAACATCTTTCTGGCACATTTCGAATCTCAAGTCATCCAAAAGTGCCAATTAAAACTCCGAATATGGCTTCGATATGTAGATGACACTTTCATGTGGCAAGACGGTAAAGAAAAACTCCAGAAATTCCTATATGCACTCAACATACAATATCCCAAAATTATCTTTACAATGGAAGTTGAACAAAACATCAGGCTCTTTTTCCTTGATGTCCTAGTCACAAGAAGAACAGATGGCTTTTTAGATCACCAAGTTTTTAGGAAACTTACATACACCAAACGATATCTCCATGCCCAATCACACCATCAGCTAGCTCAAAAATAATCGATCTTCGATTCGCTAATAAACAGAGCATTAACATCTGCGACAAGAACAGCATCCAAAGCGAACCCAAGTATCTCAAGAACACTCTTCAAAATCATGGCTATACGGCAACACAATAGGAGCGATATGTAACATAATAATATACAATCGTATATATTCTTTTGTTCATTACAGTATGAACTACAATTTCACACAAAATCGGGAAGGAAAATCACAATACATATTTCTTAACGAATGTATACTATTAAAAGATCTATATTTTATTGCCGACTATGATTACACTTGTACTTAATTTACAATTACAGATGACTCGAGAGACGCTAACAGTTTCAGATTTGCTTTCATATTTTTTAATATATTTTGACAATTTAAATTGGAAAAGTCGATATTAGCAAGTTATATTATTGATTACAAAGCACAGTTTGAAGAAAATAATCTACATAAAGCATTGGGATTACTATCATCACCTATCACTTGCAGAACACGAACAATAGAGATAGACAAATAGAGATTTATAAGACAATTACATACAACAGTTATAGGCATAGAATGATTGTAGCTGCATATAATATTGCCTATAATTATGATATAGCATGCGACAAATTGTAAAATTTAAAGGCACTATATATATGTATGGCCAGCATTCTATTACCTCATATTCAATATATTTCACATATTTTGAAAAAATGAGAAACACTATACTAACAAACTTTATACTAATAAATTATATACTGATAAATGAGCAAATATATTTTAACAAAAATACTATTAATTTATGACTGAATATATGCCTCAGTAAAAAATTTCTAATTTATACTCGAATATTATGAAAAATTGATTATCATCAACTATACCAAAATAAAAATAGGATCAAACAATACATAACCTCCTGCCTCCTGGGTCGGTCATGTGTATTCAATTTATGAATACATAATAAAATGGGCATTTCGGTAATAAAATCCACCAGTCGTATAATTTCTATGTGGCATATAACCGCGGAACTTATTTTCCCTGTGTAATCGATTTCTGGTTGTACCTGTTTGTTCTTGTATCTTGTCTATAACATTTTGCACTGTATTTTCCAAAACAGCGGTTAAAAGTAACGGACATTCTTGCGCTATTATTGCTTCTAAAGATTTGGACCATGTTTCTATGTAAAGCAATTCTATTTCAAACAGTACGATCACATTTGGTTTTTCATATGAATCTAAGCGTACAAAATCGTGATACGGTTCTGATACGCTTCTAACATAAACTTTCTGTCTATAGCGACTGCACGAATTACACACAAATCCTAAATCGCTCCACTCAAATTTTAATGGGTTTATTAATACAATATACAATTCCTTCGTATTTTTGAAGTAATGTAAGAAAATATGCCATATTTCCAAATATATTATATCTGTTTTGTTTACATCTATAACATGAATAATATATTTACGTCTATTCTTTGAAAGAGATAATAAATTTGATTCCTGCAACGCATAGTATAACGTTAGCGGACCGGATGCATAATCAGAATACGTACGTTGCTGAAATGTCCAGTAAAACACTAAGATAGAAGGGTCTAAATTTAACCTATGGGCAGAAATATTATTATTATTGAATATATAGTTGCTAATAAATGTAATAGTGTCATAACAAGGTTTTGCATCAGGAAATTTGGTGAACTTATATTTGTTTTCAAGTAAAATTTGTTCTGTATAGCCGTTTATATGGAAGATATTCATGTTCAGTAATAGCAACAACTCATGGCAGCACTTCTCATGCAATGCTTCAAATAGCATTTGGTCATCATCACAAAAATTGGCTGAATAGCAAATGCTGCAGCACCTTATGTTTGTCTGTCGGAAACACACACCACACGATTTTGCACACATTATCATCTCCATTTCGTATGGAGGTAAGCCACGTGACAAAATAGAGGGCATTTGATGTAAAATTACTTTCCGTGATTTTATCCATTCTCCTAAGCTAGGATACATATCCGAGAATGATTTGTCTGTTATTACCCTTCCTATAGCTTTGCAGATTTGAAAGTGTGTGTTTCTGTGTATCGCCTCATGTTCCTCGGAACAGTAAGAAATCATGTAGCACTGATTACACGTTATCAAGTCTTTGCTGGGACGTTTGCAAACATGACAAATGTTTGGATTAAAAAACTCATTATATCTGTCTTCTGTGTATGGACCATTAAAAGTTGATATTGAGAACAAATTCATCGCGATATGTCTTATTAATTATCGTTTAGGAGTAGTTTATTTGTAATATTTATTTCAAAATAATGCGCGAAGCTCGACAACTTACGGAATGTAACAGAAATATGTATACGGGTTATATATAGGCGTTTAACCGGTAAAAGTACACAGAACATTAATAACAATATACAATATGTTTGTAGGTATCGAAAAAGTTGTTGACAAGATAAATTCTAACTGTTGAGATAACGAACTAGAAATATTCGTTAGTGGAAAGAAACAATATGTATGACAATTTATGTATAAATATATTATTTTAAAAACGCAAAATAAAATGCAAACCAAAGTTACACAAAAAAACTAAATATTATATATTGTATATTATCATATATGTGTGAATTATATATATTTATATAATTATAGAAAATAAAGAATTATTTTTTATTGATAAATATATTGTAATATTTGCTAATATATATATTATAATATTCTGTAACTATTATAAAGATACATTATGTAAGTCCTAAGGATACCGTTAAAGTCTTTACGATTAGCGCATGCCGTTCGATCGTCAAATTTAAGAAATGCTTGGTACGGTCAGTATATAGATGGGTATTGCTTTAGACTAAAAAATGTTTCCTATTTAACAGCTTATTTTACTTCAAGTGCCTTTTATAGCACAACACTGATATACTTAAAGTTTTAAAATTGCTATACTTAAAGTTTCCAAAATTACAACAAATTTATTAAACTATTTTCCTTGATAAACTTTGTGATTTATTTTGTGTAAGTAAATTTGTGTAAGTAAATTTACGAAATTATCTTCCTTGATAAATTTTGTTATTTATTTTAAACTAAGTTTTCATAATAAGCGTATCATATTTCTCATATTATCATGTTTAATTAAAATAAGAATTGTATATATATTAATTATATATAAGCAGTATCAAGCAGCAATATACAAAATTGTGCGTACGTAAAACGTCTTGTAAAATTATATATAATCATATAACGAACTAAACATAATTTTACACACTTCTATCAAATTTTATACAGTTATATATACTTGTATATTAAAGAGTTTTTATATAAATGACAGTAAATTAATTAAAGTGAATTTTAACTATTGTGTTTTCAAAAGTAAACTCAAAAGTATATTTGCATTTTACTTAAAAAAACATCGCAGTATTTAAATAACCCAAAAATTAACTAGTTCAATAAATTGAAATAAATTTTAAGTTTAGGGGTATTATTGTTAACATATTTTATAATACTTTATGTAACTCCAAAAAAGTGTAAACAGATTTTCATGAAAGAAGCGTTTGCTGATTCTTTAGATCTTTTAGACCCAACAAATGCAGAAGTTAGGAAGTTCAGGTCAAAGATTGTGCTAAAATTTCGACTCTGAGAACATCAGATGTGTTAAAGCCTTTACACTTAAATTGTAGTAGCAATTGTAATGTAACACGTACCGTAAAATTGATGAATCACATTGAATATTATCGAAACGTAATTTTGCCAATTTTGTGAATAGTCGCTTATAATTGGTTAATTTTTACCATACGCCTTATGTTATTGTTATGTCAACTTATTTGTGAAGACTCATACGATCGAACGTTGTATATCGTGATGCGCGTTGTCTCATCACCGCTAGGCTGGTACGTATATCACGTTCGTGATTGGAAATTGGTGGAGAAACAAATTGACGATGGAAAATATGGTATAATATGTTAATCAAAAGGGAGCTTGCTTCGATTTTAAAGACAAATTGAGTTTTATTGTACTTTATGGAAGCAGATTATTTATCGAGTTTTCGTAGTATAAAGGTATGATATTTTTACACACAACAACATAAAACAAAAAATTACATATGAAAATTTAATTAAGTAAATTATATATAGAGATATACATATTTTATCATCGAGAACGTAACACGTAATGTAATGTGTTAATCAAAAGGGGATTTACTTCAATTGTGCAAACAAATTGTGTTTTATTATGCTTATTATATTCTGTGAAAGCAGATAATTCATCGAGTAATCACAATGAACAGGAATCGCATCTTTACATAACCATATATACAAAATTATATATTAGTTATATGCATAGTCACAATGTATATCAGAATTTACAGATAAATTAAATGTATTCGACGCATTTTGTTGAAAATCGAGACAAACATTTTGATGATCCTAACATAACAGAGAGTAGGTTAAATATTTAAATAAAGTTACCGAAAATTCGTTGATTATTCTAGATGATAAGAGGTTATACAGAGTTTCCAAGATTTGTCTCCGCAACGTTCGTGGAAACATGGATCGATTAGAGATGAACATAAAAGTTAAATACTGTTTGCGATATTTACAATAAATCTCGAGATACTCATTATAGAAGATTGAGGAATGATTACACGCAATAGGCAAATCTATTGTTGTAAAAATGTAAGCTAACGTATTGGGAGTGTGAATAAGTTTTCGCCGTTTCACCATCAGATAGCGGTATAAAAATTTTGTGTGTATAATTCAAGATGATGACGCATCTATAATGAAGTTCTATAACCTATGTTTAAAATCAGTGCGTGTCTTTCTATTAACCTATAAAGAATATTTTCTTTTCGTAGGGTAAAACATGTTAAATTTCGTGTCAAATAAACCGTTTTTGCGGGGAATTTTACTACACTACTTTATTCAGAAGAAATCTGCAGCTAAAGCACACAGAATTCTTGTAGAAACCTATGGTGATCATGTTCTGTCGGAAAGAACATGCAGAGATTGGTTTAACCGATTTAAAAATGGTGATTTTGATGTTCAAGATAGAGAACGCAGTGGTGCACCAAAAAAGTTTCAAAACGAAGAATTGGAAACATTACTTGCTGAAGATCCATGTCAGACGCATTCCGATGTTGCAAAATCATTAGGAGTTGATCGAACAACAGTTTCGAAACGTCTGACAGCATTAGGAATGATACAAAAGGAAGGATCTTGGGTGCCATAAGAACTGAAGCAGAGAGACGTCGAACGGCGTTTTGTCACGTGTGAACAGCTGCTTCAACGACAAAAAAGGAAAGGTTTCTTACATCGTATTGTGACTGGTGATGAAAAGTGGATATACTACAGTAATCCCAAGCGTAAAAAATCGTGGGTTAAGCCCGACGAAGCAGTAGCATCAACGCCAAAGCGGAATATCCACGGTTCCAAACTCATGCTCTGCATTTGGTGAGATCAGTTGGGGGTAGTGTATTACGAGCTACTCCAAGCCAACCAAACCATCACAGGAGATCTCTATCGACGACAATTGATGCGTTTGAGCCGAGCATTGAAAGAAAAACAACCGCAATATGAGCAAAGACACGATAAGGTGATTTTGCTGCATGGTAACGCTCGGCCGCATGTCGCGTTATCGGTCAAAACATACCTCGAAACGCTGAAATGGAAAGTCCTACCCCACCCGCCGTACTCTCCAGACATTGTGCCTTCTGATTACTATTTATTTCGATCGATGACTAACGGCCTGGCTAAGCAGCACTTCACTTCGTATGAAGAAACGAAAAAATGGATCGATTCGTGGATAGCCGTAAAAGAAGTGTCGTTTTTTTGACGTGGAATTCAAATGCTGCCAGAAAGATGGGAAAAAGTAGTCTCCAGTGATGGGCAATACTTTAATTGACTTGTTTTTTTATTATTTTTTTTAAATAAAGGATTTATTTTCACAAAAAATGGCGAGAACTTATTCACACTCCCAATATGTTCATACATTAAATCAAATTGAACAAAGAAGTTCATTATTTTGCAAATATCCACCTAAAATTTAATTATTAATGAAAAAAATCGGTATATATTTGCCCAGATAATAGTACAAAATCTTCAGAGAAAGGATATTCTAGGATATTCTCAGGATGTATGAATGCTCGTAAAACGTCTTTAAAAGGAAGACGTCTGCATGGGTGTGCGATAATGCACAAATCTTCTTCCATTATTGTCTAAAAATCTATGTGATCACTTGCAAAATGATAGAGGACTTTTATGTTCAGTTTGAATTAACGTATAAATGATAAAATGGCAGACGGCGCCACAACAACTCATTTAACATATGGAGCATGATTACTTACCAATCTTCTTTAATTAATATTTCCATATTTATTGCGAATATATTAAAATGGTGTTAAACTTTTACGTTCACCTCAATGTGTTCTATGTTCCAATAAACTTGGTGAAAATCAATCAGTGACGTCCTGTATGTTGGAATATGCGACAACGCGTGTGCTAAATTTTCCTTCGATTCTGGCAAAGATTTCTTTGGACATAATGAATTTTATTAAATTGAAGGAAGTTTGTCTATTGGAATAGTCCAAATAATCTAATTTTTAATTCGACAAATACTATTGTTTGACATTACAAACAATTCAATTATATGATCTAAAGAAGAAGAAAATTTTGTATAATTGTCTTATTTTAAAATGGTTCAGTAATTCTGTTCAAATAATTTATAAAACTTGTCTTCCTTTTTTGTGTTATTGACAACCTGTCGTTGTTATTACATCATCGTATGTGTATCCTTCTGTATCCGCGATATTTTAGATAAATGTTCCATCATTCGATGATCGGTACGAATAATCATCCTTCTTACTGATCACGGTCTAGATTATTTGACTTTAAATGTGTAGAAATTAGTGATGACGATTAGCTTCAACTGGTTGGCAGTTGCACTGAAAAAAATATTTGAAAATATATATTTGTGGGATATAAAATTGTGGGATAGAAATAAAATTTATTTCTAAACACTTATCTCCCACCTTGCATTTTAAATCCAATAAATAAATATTAAAATATATTTTTTCTCAATGTGACCAGTTGTAGCATTTTGCTTATTAGGAATACTTATAAGTTGACCAAAAAGTTATTCTATGCCACACTTACTATTAATCGTGGAAAATAGTGCAAAAATAGAGGGCGATATATAACCGATATTATAATACAATCGCATATAAACTTTATTTCAATACAGTGAGGATTACACATTTACAAAATCGGGAAAGAAGAACATAATACTAATTTACAAATAAATATATATTATTAAAAGATTTATATTGCATTGTCG